CCAGAATTTTTGAAATAGTGGCAGTGTATATGACTGAAATGTATGTTCTGAAATGGGACCTTTAACTTGATTATTCTTAAAAATGCTCTTCTTAAAACTTGTAGCTTTTCTAGTAGTTCCTGTAAGTTCCGAGTTTGTTTGATTTAGAGTGTTATAATATGAGATATCGCTGTTTTAGTAAACTACTGCAAATTTATAAATAGTTTGTTTGGCAGATTTCTTGACCTAAATGTTTTATGCTGAAACTCAGTTTTAAAGTTATTTTGGCTTAAATGATCAACATGAAAGTTGTAGATAATTGAGTTAACTATCTTGGAGTTTTGAATTTCAGTAATATCATGTCTGTAGCTTCGGTTATTGTGCATACACTGAGAACCTGTCAAACTGTATGTCTTCATTCATCCACGACACCTATGTTTTGTATGTTTGCTGTATTATGTACATTTAAATGATTTTGAACTGCATGACTGTTTTTCATGAAAGTGATAGAGGCCTGAGCTAGGGATATTTTTCAAGTAGTTTCATCATGATACGATATGTAAACTAAAAGCTACATACATTTTAAATTCATCACGCATGCTGGAAATTGGTACAAGTTCATGTTTAGGTTTCCAAATTGAGTTGTGAATTTCAAAATTAGCTTTTCGCCAATGTTCATGTATATGTACCCTACATGACTATTTCATGCTTTGATTGGCGATCATGATTTAAGTGTTTGCTGAAAAATATATGATCGAACCACTATGTATGCTTGTGTGATTTGAATGAGAATTGTAGCCGCATGTCTTAGGATTTAAATTCGTCTTAAATCATTCTTATATGACGTGCATGTTGCAAGTTATATATCTGATAGCAAGATGTTGTACTATATGATTTCAATAAACATGAGTTATGTTTTCGAAAATAAGTGTTACCTTCGATATGCATGCTTATGTGCCTTATCTGAATTAATTGGATCGTTGTTATATCAATGTTGACTGGAAACACTTGCGAGAGAAGCTTTGCGCTAAGATCTCGAAGTGTGGGAATATTAGGTAGTGTATGTGGTTGAACTCGTTTAGGACTACCGGCACGATTAGCTGCTGGAGTAAAAGCTGTCGTGACGGCCGACATTGTTGGTCGGAATAGTCAAACGAGCTAACCATTCTGTTGATCGGTGTTGATCGCCGAGTTAGGATTATTTCTGGCAATGATGCCAATGTTCGATCCCTTTTGGGAAATTTTGTTGTCGGACACTTTGTCCTATCGGAATACTTAAGAATTGTGAAACCCATAAATTGAATTTCTGGAATGCACTTTGAACCGAGTGTCGAACTTGACTGGGTGTAGCCACGCGAAGTGGTGGCCGAGCCCGCACGCCCGTGCTGAGAGACGTGAGGCCAACTGCAGTGGCCGACCGTTGACTCGCACGAGAGCTGCCGCCGCCATCACTGAACGCCAAACTCCCCAAGTCAGTGTGTACGGCCAAACCTTGACCTTGTAGCTGGTATCCGAGTGGGTACATGCACGCGTCCCAGCGCCCCGCATATGCAGCGCCAGCGTGTGTGTCACCTCTCGGGTGACAGTGCATTAAACTCAGTCCGACCTTGTCTTCATAGGAGTCTTTGAACTAGATGTTTTGGTCAAAGTGTATGTTGATCTTTCGAGTCGTTGTGTGAATGACCTAATCAACAGTCCCCGGTGTATGATGTTTGTCGATTAGTTCCCTTTGCCACATGCGAGATTTTCTCGACATGGCGAGATAGTAGTTTCGTATTAATGTGGGGCGGAGCCTTGAGCCTCGACTGGAGACCGACCCCGCGGGAGGAAATCGTTATTGAGTATCTTGTCGTTACTCCCGAAGCCGCATACGAGGTGTTACTCGTGTCGGCAATGGGTGAGGCCTTGTCATCGGTATAAAACAGAATCATGTGTTCTGAATGTACCAGGTTTGAGTATAAGTGTCGATTGTATGTCCTATCCTGATTTCTGGACCAACTCAATAGCTTAGCCTGATGTTTGACTCCACCACCGGGACTTGCGAGGATGCATGACACGTTCTAGCCTCGTGTTGGAGGGAATGTGTGCATGATCTCGCGGTATGTGTGGATTGACGAGCTGCGTGATAGGCAGAACCCAACCTGTTTGGAGGTACCGGTGACCTGTTGGGACCGATGGTCCATCAGGGAATGACCGTGAGGGGTACTCGTCAAAGCCCAGTAGTGGTAGTCGAGTCGAGGGCGAGATGACTTGGGAGGGGGAGGACGATATTAGGAGGCGTTATCCGAACTTTGAGTTCTGAGTTCTCCTTTGTATTTATCGCTTTCTAGTTTTATTTTCGAATTCCGAGGACGGAATTCTTTGTAAGGTGGGTAGACTGTAACGCCCCGTTTGAATTTGAAATAATTGGGATTATTTATTTTGCATAATTGTTTTTATTATTATTATTATTATTATTATTATTATTATTATTATTATTATTATTAT